CTAACCCTCAACTCAGGGCAGCAGCAGGAGCTCTGACTGCCCGTGAGTCCTGTCCCCATGCTATTCTGTACTATTCTCTAAATAAAAGAGCACCACTGCCAGACCTTGAGAGTCCAAGAAATCTTTCTTTTGACTCCTCGGCTCACAGATCCCGCATCAGAAAAGAAGCCAGTCTCAAGCTCCTGAGCAGTTATCCCAATAAAATCATGGCCCCAGGACCCGGCATTTAGTGTTGCCAAAGAGACTGTGTCTGAATCATGGAGGGGAGATGGAAAAGATCTCTTTAATGTTAGTCTTGCCAGAATGACCACAATCTTTATATCTGTCTGGAGTCTACAATTGTAACTCAAGTGGAAGAGGTCTTTCCAGAAGAGGTTTGCTTTGCCAGGATGCAAAGGGGAGGGGGAAGGAGGAGACATCCACCTGGGAGGAGCCTTCCTCTCCCCTTGAGGAATTTTAACATTTCCTATCTTAAGCCTGGTGCTTCTGCTTTCCCTGAGCCTCACAGAGGGTGAGCTTCATTGTGTCACGTGGCCTCCATAATAAGGTGGGAACAGAGCTTTTCCTCTGGTCCCGGGCTACTCTTGCCATTGGCATCTCTTGATTTGCAATTAGGCCTAAGTCCTGCCTCCCAGGGCCTGCTTGCCCCAACTCCACCCTTGGGTTAGCTGCAGTTCTGTGGTGGAGACAAGGTCTCTCCCTCGTGCTCTTCAAGGCAGCACGGGGCGCAGTTCAGGCTCTTGTCTCTGGTGTCTGGTTTCCTTTTTGAAAGGCTCAGCTGAGGCTGGGGCAGCAGGTGCAGCGCTGCCTATCTTGGCAAGAACCTAACACCTAACAGCTTGAAAAGCTTTAGGACACGCAAGAAGTCAGCTGCCTTAGATTAAAAGCAGAAAATATTGCCCTGGCTCCCAATATGTCAAAGGCCTTTCATGAAAAAGTTCTTTTTTATGGTTGAATCTTTGCCGCTGTCACAGCTGTTCAGGAAACCCACATCTGTTAAAACAAAAGTGGGTATTTTTCAAGGCCCTGGCTTTGCTGAGGCTCTCACCACGCCCTCCCACTTGCTGAGGCCACATGCTGGGCATCTGACTGTTAGGTCCCACGTGACCACCATTTGGCTGAAACTCTGTGTAGCTTGAGGCCTATGGATCCTGCTGTCTTAGCTATGGTTCCCTAGAAAATAGCCTGAAGCAAAAGCTCACGTGCTAACCCATTATGAGTGAGTACAATCCCAGGGAAGCAGGAGTGAGAGGGGATGGGGAGGCTGGGGGAGAAGGAGGACACATGTGAGGGTGTGTGTACCTGACTTGGCCACAGCTTACAATAGGTTAATGGCTTGTTCTCTAAGGATGTCCTCCGAGAGGTCACATAAAGCCTTTGTATCTCTGAGTAGTCCATTGAGGAAGGGTTTAGAGTGGAGAAAAGGAGCAAAATTTATTCACTGATTGCAATATCCCATTGCTAAGGTCAACTTCTCTGCACGTCTGCACTTCAGCCCAAGAGAGGAGCCCCAGGGTGGAGCTGGAAGGTGCATGATGTATGTGAGGGAGGTGCTGTCAGGTCATGCCTCCATGGGAGGAACTGGGACCCTTGCCTGGTAGAGGAAGCTGTCTGAATTCATAACCACAGGAACAGCGCAAGCCGCATCTAGGGCCGCTCCAGCCTAAAGAGTCCAGTGCACCTGCTCACCCCTGCTTAGTGGTCAGTGTGCGCAGCCCCAGCCCCAAAGCCCTTGGTCAAAGCCAGTCCAAGCTCTAGAGACTTGCCAAAAAACACTGCAGCCTAAGGCTTAGAGCTCCTCCCCCCAGTTCAGCATCCAAAAGCCCACTTCGTTCCAAACAGATTGATGGCTCTTGGTCAATTGCCATGAAGAACCACAGTAAAACCCACACAGCCTGTGCGGGGTAAGCACCTCCAAAGCGTGAAGCCACCTGCCCTGGTTGGAGCAGAAGTCTCCATCTCTCACTGTGCATTTTGCTCCCCTGACTTCTCTATTTTTATTTCTTAAGGTTTGAACCCTCATGAGTCAAATATTGAGGTTGGGGTTACGCCTGTGAAACCATAAGCAGCCTTCTGAGAGGCATGTCCTTTTCAAACTTAGAGCAGAGGAGAACACAAGCTCCTGTGGGCTGCTGTTGGCCTTGAGGACAGGAGACCGAGAGGCATGGCCGTGCAGGCCCGTGTTAACCTTCTAAGCCCACTAGACACATAAGGAACTGTTCCTCCTCTGGGGAATGAGTGAGGGCAGGAGTGTTACACTCACGGAACCCCTTCCCCATAGGAGGAAACAACAGGAGTGGAGGAGAAGACATTCCACTCTCAAGTCCCCAAACTCCAGGGCCCTCGTGCCAAGATCTCTTAAAAGCTTTCTCACTGGGCTTTGATCTGGGGGCCACTCCAGGAGAGCCAGTGAGTTCCTGATGCTCAAGAAATCTCCTTGAGTGGTGAGGGACTGTCTTCCCTCCTCTAAGCAATTATCTAGGGGTCCTGTCTTCCCCTGGCTGGAGTTCAGATGGGAGGTAAAATGCCCAGGGCCCCTCACTGGATCACCATCTCCTTCCCTATCATCATCCTTAGTGAACTCTAGACATCAGCTCATAAAGGATATATGAGGAGCCAGGGAAGTGCTCAAGAGTGGTGTGGCCACTTCTTAGTTGACCCTGTGGGGATGTGTCTAGAAGCTGCTCTTCAGAACATGTGGGTAACTATCAACTGTTGAGCTCAGCATTGGGGCTTTAAATGTTACTCTGAGAAAACAGGAAAAGTCTCATTCCACACTACTGCCCATTCATTGTTTCACTAGGAATTGAGTATCTATGATTTACCAGGTCCGGTGCTGTGTGTTGGGGGTAATGTGAGGATGCAGGGAGGATTCTAAACTAGAGCAAGTCATAACACTCGATGCTGGAGAGGCCTTAAATAGTTCAGGGAGAGAAGCAGACACACACACACATATGCACACGTACATGCACACAAACACACACACTCCTGCAAGGACTACAAGAAATGTCGATTCAAAAGGCTATGGAAACCCAGAAGGAAAAGTGAGGCTTCATTTGACATTTGAACTTGGTCTTGAAGGATGAGTGAGTTTGACAGAGAGGACAAAAAGAGAAAAGTTAGTAGGAAAAGGCATAGCATGTGCAAAGTCACGGCTGCTTGAAAGGAAGTGGTACAGACAGGAAATCGAGAGGTTTGTGTGGCAGCAGCACACGGTGTATGTCCTTGTTGGTTCAGGGGGATATTGGGAGATGAAGCTGAAGCGGAAGTTGGATCTAAATCATAAAGAGACTCGTGTTCCATGATAGAGTCTGAACTCTGGGTAATTCAAGGATTTCCAGCAGAGGAATAAACAGGGTTGGGATTTAGGAAGATCGTACTGGCAGTCCTGCTGGGGATGGTTCTGCTCGGAGTGAGTCTGCAGGTAAGGAAGGCAGTTCTGAGGCTCCTACAATAGTCCTGGTGGTAGGTGATGGAGGCCTGCCCTAGAGCAGGGGCAGTGGGGACGGACAGGAGGACAGGATTTGAGATATTTAGGGAAGAAAGTTGGCTGAATTGGACTGGGTGACCAAGTCAATGTAGGGACTCAGAGATGGCTATGTATCTTCCATCTTGGGTGACTGGGAAGAGTGGGTACCTTCTCTAACAGGTGCCTCCAACTAAAGAAAGAAGGTACCTGGGTACTTTCAACTAAAAAAAAAGACGAAGGGAGGGAGGAAGTCCTGGGTTTAGTTTGGTATGGGCTCTGTCACTAATTGGTGGTGTCATTTTCAGCTGGTTGCTTCTGCTTTCTGGTTCTCAAGTTCCAACTACAAAACTAGAGAGTTGTCCTGGATACACTCTAAGTTCTCTCAGAACATCAACCATTGGCGACTCCAAGTCTCACTGAGTAAAAGTACTAGGGGAGCCTGATGGAGAGACGGGTTAACTCTGGTAGGGGCTAACATTTGAGTTGGGGCACGAAAAATGAGCAGGATTCCAGTGGATGGAAATGACGAAGAAAGGCTTCCTAGGAGGAGGAAGTATGGAGGGTCTGTTTTAGGGAATGGAGCAGTTCACCCCCTGACTGGGTGCAGAGTATGGAGGGCAACAAGGATGGGAGAGGCTGAGAGGTAGGTAGGCAGCACCAGTGGAGAAAGACCTTGAATGCCCTATGAAAAAGACTTTATTCCAGGGCAATGACCCCCACTGGACAGTCCATTGGAGAGTGGAGCTCAAGATAAGGTGTGATGGGTATCATACAAGTGGAGCAAAACATCCCATGGTGCAGGGCTGGGATAGATCAACTTTGCCTGGTGAAGGCTGAGGGGTATACATATTCACAGTGTATTCACTCCCTCTTTTCAGGGGAAAGTGTGAGGCCTGAGGTGGGGAAACAAAGATGGTGGCAGCTGCATTTCCTCTACCCAGGGTAGCTGATGAGGTCCTACACGTCGCAGAGAAGTTCTCTCAGCAACAGCAGCTGGTGGTGTCCCAGTGGAAGGACAGCAGAGGGAGCAGTGTGCCCTGCGTGAAGGCCCCCATGCAGTTAGGCAGTGGGCAGGCAAAGCTCACGCTGCTTCTCCACAGGCCTCTTCCAAGACCTATGGGGCCTCAGTACTCAGTGTGGTGCTGGGACCAGCAGCATCAGCATCCCCTGGGAGCTTGTTAGAAATGCAGAATCTTAGCCTCCACCCAAACCCACTGACTCAGAATCTGTGTGTTTCTTTTTGTTTTGTTGTTTTGGTGAGGAAGATTGTCCCTGAGCTAGCATCCATGCCAGTCTTCCTCTATTTTGGATGTAGGATGCCACCGCAGTATGGCTTGACGAGTGGTGTGTAGGCCCACTCCTGGGATCCGAACCTGCTAACCCCAGGCCACCAAAGCAGAGTGCACAAACTTAACCAGTATGCCACTGGGCCAGCCCCCAGAATCTGCATTTTAACAAGATCCCCATGCTGAGCCCTAAGCACGTTAAAACTTGAGAAGGCTTCCCGCTCGCTGAACACAGCTTTCCTCACTCAAACTCTTTCTCCTAGTTTATTTCGTATTCAGGGAAGACAGAAGAGTACCCCTGGAATTCCTAGGGAGCACATGAGCCAAATGCCAGTCAGAGGGTAGGAATGCTTCATAATTATCCCGAGTATCTTCCTCATTCATTCACTCATTCAATTAAATAATAATAGATCACGGCCTATATCCCAATATGCCTTCTCTCTGCATTCCTGGTCCTCCTGGCCACGAATGTGCTGGGTTACATCTGGCAGAATGGGAAGAGTCTGGAACCTGGGGTGTGAAATCCACTTAGCTGGGCAGATAGATGTTGGCACATGGGCAGGAGAGAATTTATCCTGGTATGAGGTACTGACCTCAAAGTTTCACACAGCCAGGGGAGTGGGAAATGCATTCCCATTATGGGGAGGTCCATAACAAGCCCAGTGTACGTGTCTCCAGGGGTGTGTGCTGTCCCTTCTGGCAGAGCACCACAGTAGCCCACCAGGCTGCTGGCTGTTGAGAAATGGACCCACTGAGATGTCCATGACGGAGTACAGGAGCAGTCCTCATTGAGGAATGGTGGGGGTGTGTGTGCAAGTAGGACTCAAAATAGTGACCTAAGCTGAAGCCCACGAAGGAAGCCAGGGGATGTGATGGGCCCCAGGTTGGGACCAACATGTCGTTAGACACAAAGACCACGAGGGCAGGGCTGTAACTTGGGAAATAGGCAGGAGTCCTGCAGAGCCTTGTGTTCTAGTCAGACTGAGGGTGCAGGCACTTGACACAGAGGCCACTGGATGTGGCCTGGGGCAGTTTAAGTCTTCCTACTTCGATGATTCCCTCTTCCCCAAGGATGGCTTTCGGGGGCAGAGGCTGAAACAGCAGTCAGGGAGCTGTGTGGACTCATCGGAGAGGAGCCGAGGAAGCCAAGAACTGAGGCCGAGAGGCTGGAGTTGAAGCCACCCTCACCTGGGAGTAGATGACAGAGGAATCCTGGGGGAAAGAGAACACAAGTGAGGCCAGATCCTGGCGGGCCCATGGCGGGAGGGCACGCGGGTCGCGGGACTCACCGAGTTCTTGAAAAACCTTGGTGCAGAGGCTGCTGTGGAAAGAAGGGAAGTGTTCAGCTGTGAAAGGCCCACTCAGAGCTCTCTCCTTGGCTCTGTGCTGTTAGCCCAGACACAGCTGCCTCTCAGGGCCCCCTTGCCCTGTGTGGGACGTCAGCCATTCCTTTCGTCCTCTCTCTGTGCTGTCACCGCACCTTTCCTAAGCTCCTCAGCCTCAGGGCTTTGACCAACTCTCCCCTCAACAGCACTTCCCACTTTGTTCCCCGCTCGGAGCTCCCTAGGGGCTCTCAAAAAAATCTACCCTTTATCTTGTTAGTGCTTTGATCATAGATTCATAGCACCGTTCATGGAGATGCAGCCTGGCCCGGAGCAGAGGCAGGACCCTGGTTTAGAGAGTGGAATCGAGGTCCAGACCACCTCAGACTGAGCCCTGGGTCGGCCGTGCCTTTCCTGGGCAAGTCACTCTACATCTCCTGCCTCGGTTGTCTCATCTATATGATGGGAATAATAGTATCACCTACCTTCAGAGTTAGTGTAAATTGATGTATTTATGTGTGCGTGTGATTTCTAATACCTGTCATGACTGCGCAGTTCCTACGTGCCAGGTACAGTTCTGAGTGCTATAAATAAGCAACAAACAAACTATAAATGTATGTGTGTGCATGTATTTATGGCACATATATTCAGAGTGTATTTATTTATAGCACTCAGAACTGTACCCAGCACATAGGAACTGCTCAACACATGCTGATGCGATGTTAGAAGTTATGATTATTGCCATATTGTCTTAAAACTGGAGTGAAATATGACATTCTTCAAACAGGGCTCTCTCCTTTTCACCTGGAACGAGCATCAAGCCTCCCTGGAGCTGCGCTGAGGAGCAGAGCTTGGTCCAGAGCCTGGACTCTGGAGACAGATTCATCCGTGATTTACAAGCTATGTGGCTTCTGGCCAGTCATTTAAGGTCTCTCTGCCTCAGTTCCCTCATCTGTAGAATGAGGATGATAACAATCCTCAATCTCAAAGTAGGTTGTAAGTGTGAATGCGTTCATGTGTGTTAGAGGAGGACCATTGAACCAAGAATGGGGCACAAACACGGTCCATTTGACTTTATACAAGAGGGATCAGAAAACCAGAGAGGGAAGCAGAATGGCTAAAATCACACAGCATGTTTTACAGAGGAGAGTTAGAAAGGCATCTGTTCCAAAGACTGTCCTGCTCTTAGTGGGAGGAAGCCAGGCTGGGACCCACTACCGAGGACCATCTACCCTGAGTAAAGATGACAACATGGCCAGACAACCAGCATAGAGTCATCCTCAAAGCTGCTTACTACACCGCTGTTGTAATAGCATTTCCTCCTTGTCTTCTCATTTGACCCTCACAGTCACCCTGTGAGATGATGTGGTGGGCAGAATAGTGCCCCCTTCCCAAAGACGTCCATGTCCCAATCCCTGGAACGTGCGAAAATGGGACCTTAGAAGGGAAAAGGGGCTTTGCAGATGTGACTAAGACTAAGGACCTTGATATTTTCCAAGTGGGATTTTAAGGAGGTCTTGAGAGTCAGAGAACTCCTCCCAGCTGTGGTCAGAGGGAGACCTGACCAGGGAAGATGGTCAGAGAGATGCAACCTTGCTGGCTTTGAAGATGGAGGAAGGGGCCATGAGCGACGGAAGGGGGTGTCCTTTAGAAGCTGGAAAAGGCAAGGAAATACATTCTCCCCTGATGCTTCCAGAAAGGAACGCAGCCCTGTTGTCGCTTTGTTTCTAGCCCAGTGAGACCTGTGTCACACCTCTGACCTACAGCAAGGTAAGATAATAAACTTGTATTGTTTAGTCCCACCAGGTTTGTGGCCATTTGCCACAGCACACTAACAAACTGATACAGATTGGGAGGGAATAATAGTTTTGTCTCATTTTCCAGATGGGGATACTGAAACTCTGAGAGGTTAAGTGACTGCCCAAGGTGATGGCCTTGTGACTCGGCTTATGCTTAGGTATCTGTGGAGAATGGAGAAAGCAGCACTCCATGGTGGGCTTGGATCAACACCTTAGTGTGGGTGGGCACCAGTTAAGAAGCCCAGGGACCCAGCGTGAGAGGCGGCTCTGTGTCTGGCTGGCCCAGACCTGTTGAAAGGGTGGAGACTGAGCAATTGGCTGGGTTGTCAAAATCAAGGGTCCTCAGGCCTTACCTGCATTTTTGTTTCCCTTCTGAATGCTCCGGACTTCCGTGTATATCACGTCTTCTCCTTCAGGATTTACTTGGAAAGAAGTTGAAGTTTGAGAGGATTCTAAGGTTCTTGCCTCTTGTCTGAGCTACTTCCTCCTCCCGCAGCTAGAGCTTGTCCTCTGTGGGGACTGGAGCCCTACATGCCTCTACATAGTCCCATCTTCATCTCCTGTCCCACCCCTTCCCGGATCAACCCTGCAGTCCCTGCCCAATGGAGGGTCCCCGCTCCTCACCATTGCTGTACACTGGTTGCAGTTCTACCCAGGCTGGTACACTGTGGTAGGTGGGCTCTTGGGGGTCTGAGTTTGAAGGGCTCCTATGAGACAGAAACTTTGATGTTTCCCAGGAACCCTGACAAAGTAGCTATAATGATCATTCCCTGTTAGTGAGTCTTTACCACAGGGTGGCTGCCAAGGCTGGAAACATAGACGAGTACATAACAAATGGGCTATTATATTATGGACTACTATGGACTAATATCCTATGAATTATGATAAATTAATATTATCTGTGTTTCCAGACTTTATGGACGCTTGGTATATACCAGGCACTGAGCTAGTTCTTGTTGATTCTATCGTTATCCCTATTTTATAGATGAAAAAAATGGAGTTTCCAAGAGGTGAAGTGACTTGCCCAATGCTATGTAACCAGAAAGGGAAAGAGCAATATTCAAACCGGGCTTCAAAGCCTCCACTCTCAGAGGGATGAGGATCTCAGAGAAATAAATAATTAGAAAGGCTCTGAGGAACCCTGCATGTTTTGGATGCTGCTACCAAGGGCTTGCCCAGGGATAGTTTGTGACCTATGGTGTGGCTCCTAAAGTCAGCCTTTGGGATCCAAGATGGCAGCCTCTTCTCCACAGGCACCACCTCCTGTTGGCAGAGTGGTCTTTCTGAGTGGCCAACTGGTGTTACTCCATCCTCTTGGCTCTCATCTCAATAGGTATTGGTTAGGTTGGCCATACCCTGACTTTCCAGGATAATTAAGCTAAGATCATCTGAAGACTTGGGCAGATTCAGTGGTCATAGTGGTCACTCAGGTAATCAAGTAACAGTGGTACAAGCATGTAAGTGAAAAAATAAAAAGCATCAATATTTGATGCAAGAAAAAGTCCTACGTGGCTAAGGCAGTGGAAGGTCCTGGGAATTGCCTTGAGATATCCCAAGAGAGGTGGCAACATGAAATTGACGCAACCCATCTCAGTGACATGAAGCAGTGACTGTGCTCTCAGCAGTAACCAGACTCAACTCCATTTTTATACCCTGTGGTCATTTCATTAAACACAGGAATACAGCCTAGCTCTTACCTGGAGAGGTCAGAGGTAGGCCTTCTTCCTGCAAAGGAAAGCAGAGGGGCATTGGATCCGGGAGAAGGAAGACTTCACAAGGAGCACAGCTTGTAAGAGGCTCGCCCAGAACCTGCCAGGAGTCGCTTCACTCAGGTGTGAACCCTTCTTCTCTACATCCAAGGGAGGAGGCAGATTGGGCAAAAACTATGGCCCCTGACTTCCAGAGGGGTAGAGTTATAATGTGAAAGGGGAGCCCACAATCCATAATCCTTCAACCTGGAGTTTGTAAAGAACAATGGTCAGTAGCTACAGGTGGGAAAGCAGACTTGATCGGCAATGAAAATAATGGACATTTAAGAAATCAGTAAGTTATCAAATCCCATTTGGTTCCTGTTTTCACTCCTGTTTCTCAGAGTCTTTCTTCTCCTCTTCCCGTTCTTTGGGGATCTTGTAAGAGGAGAGAGGTAGATACACTGCAGCTTATGGTGTTGAATAAACTACATCTCATCAAGTCATCTTCTGCTCAGTAGGGTTGCTTTGGAAACTTTGCATTTGGTAAAGACAAATTCTGGGGGACCTAGAGGGAAAGTGGGGACTGTGGGACAGTGGTGGGAGGAGCTGTTGAGAGCTTGGGGGCGGTTACAAAGGCAGCAGGAGCCTGAGGGAATGGAGATGGGAAGGGGGTGGACTCAAGCACAGGTTAGCCAGGGAGTTACCCACCTGCTTTTCTTGGGAGCCAGTAAAAAAACAGCAGTCCCGCAGCAGCAAGGCCCAACACGCTGAGCAGTCCGCCGGTGACACCTGTGGCGACAGGGCCACTTCTGCTCCCTGTCAGCCATGAAGGTGAAAACCGGTGCATGAGCCAGAGGGAGAGGCTTGTGGCCTTGGACTCCTGCTTCCCCTGGGTCAGAACTGATGCCTGGGCATGGGGAGAGAGGATAAACCTAGGGGACGAGGGTTCCTGAGGCTAAGCAGGTGTTGGTGTGGCACAGGAAATGGCTCTTCTCTTTGTGAGGAAGCTCATCTCTGCTGATGAGGCAACGGGTAAAGGTCAGGATGGACAGCACCAGCAAAGGGCATTAAATTCAGTGATCCTCCTTGGCCCCTCTCTCCTGCCCCAGTACTATCACTTCAGAAATACTGCAGAAAACGGCAATTTAGAGAACTGCCAGCTTTGTGTACCTGTGCCTGAGAAGCACTGTCCTGGTCAAGCATCAGGACGGTTATCAGAGAATCTTTGGAGGAAATATTTTCTCCACATCTATGGCATGGGCATAGGAAACTTACTGGTGATAGCAAGTGTCACTGTGTCGCTGCGCTGGACACCCAGGCCATTGTTGGCCTCACAGGAGTAGTTCCCAGAATGTTCTTCAGTCAGAGAGAGGTTGAAGGAAGATCCTCCTCCAGAGAGGCTTGAGTTGCTCTCCAAGGTGACATCATTGCGATAAAACTGGTACAGGATCGGGGGAGAGCCTCTCTGGGCCTCACAGTGAAGCTCCACCACGTCCCCCAACACAGCCTGGGCCCCGGGAGCCCTGAGGGTGAGGACAGGGCGAGACACTGGAACTGAGGGAGACAAAACGTCAATGGAAGTTCCTACTTCCAATCTATTCATAAGTGAACAAATAACATCTCAAACAAATGGCAAAAGTCAGGTCCCAATTTGGAAAATAGACTGAAATGCATATGACAGCCAAAGCTAGTAACTTTAATCTAAAAATAGCTGTCAGTGCACAAGAACAGCCAAGAGAAAAGTGTGGAAAGGGTATGAACCACGAAAAACTTCAAATAGCCGATAAAAGTATAAAAAGATTATCATCTTCCTTACTAACTGAATATACACAAATGAAAACACCCATTGGATTGACAAAGCTCACCGGGACAGATAAGGCTGAGGAGGTTGTAGAGAAACAGGTGCCTTCATGTGCTGTCCATGGGAATGCAAATTTGAGACCATTCCTTGAATGGCAATTTGGTGATATCTACCAAATTTAAAATGCACGTAAACTGTGACCCAGCAAATCTACCTCAAAGACTCTTTCCTGTAGGGACACTGACAGAAGATATGCAAAGATGGTTGTACAAGGATTTCTATTGTAGGATTATTATAAAAGGTAAAAATGAGAGACAACCTAGTTGTCTGGCTAATAAAATATGAAGCATATCTGGGGTGTATTTTGTAAACTAAAGTCGAGATGTATTTTTAATTGAAAAATGCAAGTTGTGCAACTATATGTGTAATATGATTCTACTTTTGTGAAAAATCTTATGCCTTTATGTTTATAATATATTTGATTATTTCTAGAAAAATATACATGGAGCTATCAACAGTGGTGAAGTCTTGGAAGTATGTGGATGTGTCCACACAAGGAGAAAGAGGTATGTATTTTTCATATTGTCCCTTCTGTACCATGTGATTTTTTTATCCTGAAGATTTATGTATTCTTTCACAATAACAAATTATTAAAAACTCAAGAGTTTGTTAAAATGTGGCCACAAAAGATGAAGAAACCTCATACAGTCAACGTATGTTAAGACTTGGATAAGCCCATGTTTCAACCTGACTTTGTCATTGCCAGCTGGGTCTGTAAGCAAGTTACTTCACCTCTCTAAGCTTCCATTAACTCTTCTGCAAACCCTCACTGGTTGATCCTTAAGCTTAAATGAGAAGCTGCGCATCAGGTACTAAACACAGGACATGGCACACGCCAGGGCTCAGTTAGTGTTGATGATAATGAAGATGATGATGATGGTGATGGTGGTGGGTACGATGATAACAAGAAATATTCCTTTATCTTGCAGTTCTCCATGACCCGTTTTCAACTTCTAGGACTCAGACAAAATTTAATTAGGCTGGCAAGAAGTCCCTTAGGTGTGATAGCAGCCTCAGAAATAATGTGCATTTGTACCAGGCAATCATATAAGGAAAGGAGTGGGGATGAGCAAAAAAGCATGAATAGAGTGTGGGAGGTATGATGTGTTGGTCCACTGTGTTGTGAAGAGAGAGGGAGCAGCTCTTGGTCAGTGGTGCATGGTCGTGTGGTGGATGTAAACCATGTGGCAAGAATCCCCATGAATCACAGAGGAAAACTGGCTGAGGTGGATGCTGCCTGTCAGTGGGGGCAGAAGAATGACCTGGTTGAATGGAAAAAATCAAATCTGAAATCAAGTTGCCTCCTGGATGCCAAAGAGATGCCTGCACTGGCCACCTTGATGAGATGCTGAATCCTGAGCTGGCATCCCCAAACCAAGCTTCTCCTGTGGCTGTCGCTATTTTTTATTATATTCAGGCACTCAGCCAAAGCAGACTAAGAGCATCCATCTGCATTTGGCTTTAGCTATCTCCGGGGGCATTTACATGCCGTTTCACGGTATCCTGCTTTCCGGGATGTACCCCAGAAGCAGGGACCCCCAGCTATTCCTGCTCATGTCTCCTTCCAGGGACCTTTGAGTCTGAAATACTCCATATTCCCTGTGCAGCAAACTCATAGGATTCTAGGGCTTTGAGGATGGCCATAATGTCCGCCACATCTGATTTTCCCACTTTATAGGTGAGGAAATTGAGGTCAGTCTAGGGAAATATTCTTGGCCGGGGACATCCAGCTGGCTATCTTCAGAACATTTATCTCAAGCCTTTAGCATGCTTTTGCTATACCTCACATCTCCCTATACAGGAGTTTGGAGGTTGGGCCTGTAGGGGGTCATCACAAAACAGACTCAGAGCTCATAAGAAGCAGTTTTCCTTGGCGATTACACTTACAGGCAGGGGATCAAAGGACAGCTTAGAGAAGGAAGGAATTTGATTGATGGCTGGCCATTTCCACTCCACATCCTTCAGCTCTCACCTTCTCTGCGCTGGTCCCCTCTGTACCCATTGCTTTAAGAATCACTTTGAAAACTAACTTGGACTGGTTGTGTCTCCCAAAAGGCAGTGCACGCAGCTAATGTCAACATAGAATTTTTGACATGGAAATGTGAGGCCTGTTTATACCCCTAGTAATGAAAGAAACTCAAGAGTAGAGACTTGTGGGGAGTCAATGAGAGAAAAACCAGGACAAGGAATGGCCAAACATTTTTTGGAACAGGCACAGCTGTAGGCAGAATTCTTTAGTTTCCCTTTTGTATAATAACTGCAGATAGGAATACAGTGTATGTTCTAGGAAAGTCTTCTTTGCATTTTTAGTGAGTTTGGAACACATTCAGGAGGACTGCTTGAACTGTGCTGCTGGGGAGGTCTGGGTTTCTGAAACCAAAACCACAGGAAAGGTCCTAGACTTCTAAACGGAGGTTCCGTGGGCAGGAGGTCTGCCGGGGTACTTAGAGCAGGTTGGAGTGCTGGAGCCGCATTTCAGCTGCTTGGGAGAGAAGGCAGTCAGTCCCTGTTTGTGCTGCTGGTGGGCAGGACCAACTCACCTAAGACATTGAGCATCAGCATCTCACTGCGCTGGGGCCCCAGGTCATTGTTGGCCTCACAGGAGTAGTTTCCAGAATGTTCTGCAGTCAGAGAGAGGTTGAAGAATGCTCCTCCTCCAGAGGGGGCCAAGCTGCTCCCCAGGGTGACATCCTCATGATAAAACTGGTACAGGATCGGAGGAGAGCCTCTATGGGCCTCACAGTGAAGCTCCATCATGTCCCCCACCACAGTCTGGGCCCTGGGAGCCCTGAGGGTGAGGACAGGGCGAGACACTGGAACTGAGGGAGAGAAAATAGTTAATTATCACTTCCTACTGTTTACGCTCTTCCATAGGAGAGACATTTCAAACAGGGAACTGCTTTTCTCAGTTTTTAATGACCTTGTGGCATCACTCAGAACTCAGCTATAATTTCGTCAGACTGGAAGAAACAGCAACACTTGTGTAGTGCTCTGTGGAGTCTGCAGTGCCCGGACACACAATCTCAAGTGTGTTTGGCGAATCTGAAGAGAAAGATGAAATGTAACCCTGGGGTCTGAGAAGTCAAAAGACAGCTGGGAAAAAGGAGGTCAGCTAGTGAAAAGTAAGGAACTGGAGAGACCTGTTGCTGACAAAGCCAAGGATGTAACTGAGCCTGGGCAGGATCAGAAATGAGGCCCACAAGAGAATGAATATTGATTATTTCATTTGCTCATTGTTATATTAATTCATTCATAAAAATAAATGAGCAATTAATAATGGCACTATTTTCTGGGGAATCAATAGTGGGAAAGACACAGTCCCTGCTCTCATGAAGCCTACCATCTAGAGGAGATGATAGACAGAAATTAAATTAAAAAATGTAGAAGTAAAACATTGATAATTGATATAAAATAAAGAATAGGGTGCTATGAAATGTATAATTCAGGGACTAAACATATTATGGATTAGTCAGTGAACATTCCCTCATTAAGTGACATTTGAAACTAACTAGGTGAAGAGGGATACAAAGAATGCACCAGGAAGGCAAACAGTATGTGCAAAGGCCCTGAGTTTGGAAGAAGGTTGGAACTTTTGAGTTATTCAAACAAGGTGACAACAATGCTAAGAGAAGTGTCTGAAGACTGCTGTGAAATAGAAGGCTGGAGAGCGAGACAAGGCTTCAGGAGCCACGATAAGGGTTTTGATCTTTCTTCACAGAAGAATAGGAAGTCTATAAGTGTCACTCTACAGGGGCATGAAATGATAAAATTTGTCTTTTTAAGAGGCCATTCAGACATCAGTTTGCAAAATGGATTGCAGTGGGACAGAAGTGGAGTGGAGAGGTAGTTAGAAGTGCAGTGGAGAGGTGGCATTGCAGTATAATTTGAGTGATGGTAGGTTTGACTAGGAGAGTGGTAGTGGAGATGGAAATAAGATCCAAGAAATATTTAGGAAGTAAAATCCACAGGACTTAATGATTAACTGGCTATGAAGAGCAAGGGAGAAAAATGTCAAGGAAGACTGCTGGGCTTTGCCTTGTATGTCTGGGTAAAAGCTATCTGGCTGTTATCTGGCTGTATCTTGACAGAGGTAGGGACATGTGGAGAGAAACGGGTCTGGAGGAACAAGATGAGTTCAGTTTTGGAGATATCCAGGTTCATGAGCTTTTAGGCTATTTGAGTGGAAATATGGTGTATGCAGGTGTTCAGGTGGGAGGTCTCCTTTGGACATAGAAGCTTAGGACTCATTTATAGATGACATCCTCAGGATCATCCAGAGAAAGAATACAGATAAGAGAAGAGGGTGCATGCAAGACAAAGCTTGGGAACAGACCTACACTTAGTTTGTCTATAAAAGGAGGAGCCAGTAAAGGAGACTGAGAAGGAGGGCAGAGAGACGAGAGCCAGGAGAGGGTGGAGTCATTGAAGAAATGGAAAGGAAGGTCAAGAGGCAAGAAAAGATGGACAATGTGGGCTATTTCTGAGAGTTCAAGTAAGATGAGGTTTGGAAAATGGCCATTGGATTTTAAGTTCTGGGGGTCATTGGTGACCCTTATGAGAGCCATTTTGGTAGATAGGTCAGAAGAAACCAATGGATTAGAATACAGTGGGTAACAAGGAAAGGGAGACAATCTATGCGGCTCACCCTGTTTAGAAATTTAGCCATAATAAAGCAGTGGCTGGAGGCATAAGTAGGATCGAGTTGGGGTTTTTCTTAGCCATGGGAGAGACATAGCATGTTAAATGTCAATGTGAAAGATCCTATATTGGGGAACATACAATAGAAAGGGATAATTAGTTGTGCAAAGTGTCTGAGAATGCAAGAAAGATCTAATCTAGAGATCAGGTGGAGATTTTGATTTTTCATAGGCAACAGAGTTCTCTCTTCTATACCTTAGAAAGAGGAGGGATGAGTCACTGGATGGATACAGAGACAAACACCCAATATGGTGGTGAGAGTGGAGGGTGTCATTGCCTCAGAGGGAGTAGAGGTGTTAATGAACTGAGGGTTCTGGGGATATAGGAGAAGAATAGTGATTGGAAGAGTTGAAGAAGCGAGTAGAAGGATAGGAGGTTGTGGTCAGACAATTGGAGTGCTGTGTGAATGTGGGAGTGGGTGGTTGATGTGGAGAGAATGACAAGCCATGGTGTTGAGTGGATCATCCATGTGGACATTAGAGTCATGGAATGATGGCAGAATGTAGGGTATAGACCACCTAGACTATGAGCCTGGACATGCGAGGACATGACCTGGAGGTCAGCCTATGACAGGGCCAGGTGGGAGACAGTGCTCTAGCTGAGTGTATTAGGGACATATAAGAAGTCAGGAGAATGATGTTGGGAAGTCTTTTAGCAAGGGTTCTGGGTCGGGTGCTGAGCTGCTGTGGGACAGGTGCAGGAGAAGCTAGAGAGAAACTCATGAGCCACTGAGAGAATGAGTTGGCCTTTGGATTGATTGACAGACTGTGGAAGCCCGAACTAAATCTCCTCTGAGGTCAGATATGCTGAACTTCTTAATTTCCTTCCCTGCTGATTGTGGGTTGACCGGGACATAATTTCTGTTTTGAAAGCCTTTATTCCTATGTTAGGTGAGTTTGGTCACGATGGCTGCACACTTGCTACCAGGAAAGGCATAGCACACAGAGGGAAGGTGCAAGTTCCTGGAAATGTAGAATCCAGAACTCTCGAATGGAGGCCTACTATGATGTCACACAGCAAATGGCCCTGTGGGACCTCCAATCTTGGCTATTGGGGAAAGGGGGAGATGGTCTTTCCCCGGTTGTACTATAGTTTGGAGGGTCAACATACCTGTGACTCTGAGTGACACTGCGTCACTGCGCCGGACACCCAGACCATTGTTGGCCTCACAGGAGTAGTTCCCAGAATGTTCTTCAGTCAGAGAGAGTTTGAAGAAAGATCCTCCTCCAGAGAGGCTTGAGTTGCTCTCCAAAGTGACATCATTGCGATAAAACTGGTACAGGATCGGGGGAGAGCCTCTCTGGGCCTCACAGTGAAGCTCCACCACGTCGCCCACCACAGTCTGGGCCCCGGGAGCCCTGAGGGTGAGGACGGGGCGAGACACTGGAACTGAGAGCAAAAATGAGGTAATTGACACCAGTATATTTTCCTATTTCTTTTATTTTCATTTTCCAGAGATTAATTCTGTTGAGTATTTAGTGACACATTCTAGATCTGTTCTCTGTTTAAGAACACTCACTCATATCAACACACAAACATGAACACGAACGCACACACACACACACACACACACAAGTGCATGGTTTCACAATATGCATACTGGTTTACAACCTGAGCTTTCCTCTTTGCAACATATCCTGGGCATCTTTCTGTGTTATTACTTAAAGATCTATCTCATTCACTTTGAAAAATCAGCTTTACTAGGACATAATTTACGCAAAATAAAATGCATCTTTCTTAAATTTAGAATTTGATAATTTGGGGTAAACATTCCTTGATTATTTTTAACCATCACAAAGCATTCCATTGTGTGGATTTACTGTAATGTATTTGAGCAATTCCCCTTTAGCGGATATTTAGGTTAGTTATTTTCTAATTTCAGATAATGCCACATGGAACCATTGTGTATATATATCATTTTACATTGTGCATGCTTTTTTAAGAAATAATTCTTATAGGCGAAATTTTGGAGATGAGGGATATAGGCATTTCAAATAATGATATTTAATGCTAAATTGTTCTTCAAAAACTTTGTACCAATTTACACTGCACTATTGGTTTACAAGAGTTTCAGTGTCCCAACTCAGCGATCAGCTATAGTCTTATAAAAGTAGAAGGTTATTTTCATTACTTATTCTCTTTTCCTAGTCTTAAACTCTACAGTTATTCTATCTGAACAATTCACTCATTCTGTCCATCTGAGCAGATCACTCTAGCAGCCCTACAGTCTATTATTTGACTTTTCATGGATGACTAGTGAACTATAATCTTTTTTTTTTTTAAAGATTTTATTTTTCCTTTTTCTCCCCAAAGCTCCCAGTACATAGTTGTGTGTTGTACTTTCAGTTGTGGGTCCTTCTAATTGTGGCATGTGGGATGCCACCTCAGAGTAGCCTGTTGAGCGGTGCCGTGTCCACTCCCAGGATGCGAACTGGTGAAACCCTGGGTCACCGCAGCGGAGCGTGCAAACTTAACCACTTGGCCACGGGGCCGGCCCCTATGAACTATAAGCTATTAATGATGAGTGACTGTCTGTAAAGTTTTCAAATTATTTGCAAAATATAAATTTCAAAATCTGTCATTAATTTTTCAAAATTATCACATTAATTCTTTTTTGTTCTCTATGAAATAATAATTATGAGAAAATTATTGTTCTTTTATTTCTTCTCTCTCTGACCAACTGATTTTTTTGTTATGTATATTTTTTACACTTTCAGCATTAGTAATACTTGATTCCTATTCCTATAATTCTCACACTTGATTAACCTTTCTTTTTATATTTGAATCAGTGGTTTTCAACCCCATTTGAACAATAGTCTCATCCGAGGATGTGATTAAAAAAATGGATTCTAAGTCCCCATCTGAGAGATTTGAATTTAATTGGTCTGGAGAGGGCTTAGTGTAAGTTTTTTTCCAAAGCTCCTAGGTGATTCTAATATGCAGCCATGGCTGAGAACTCCTGATTTAAATAGATTCAGTACTCACATTTCATACCACAATTTCCTCATTTTGAGTCTTTTAAATTGATTCATAGCTCGGCTGCCTGGATTTTGTCATCAAGTAATTTTTTCAGGAAGGGTTAATGGGTCCTAAGTTCCCTGAGTCCCTGCGTGTTTGAGAACGCCTTTTTGCTTTGACGTAAAATTCCCAGTTCTCATTCCTCCCCTGAAAGTGCAAGTCTGGACACCACCCCTCTCTCTTCTAGCACTGACTTCTGTGGAAAGTCTAAGACCAACAATATTTTTTCTTTCTGAGATGACGGCTGCTTTTTTCTTTTGCCATGATCACACACACACACATACACACACATATATTTTTAACCTTGAAATTTAATAACCTCATTAGGATATGTCTTTTCATCTACATGTTAAAGTTTTCTTCACTTAGGAAAAATTTTTGTTACATCTTTGAGCTTTGCTTTTCTCTTCAGTTTGGTTTTCTAACTTAAAGACTCTTAATTATCCACACATGGGGGTCTCTGTTTTCTGATCTCCATATTTAAATTTTTTTCCTTTTTGCCTTTATTTCTGTGTCTTTCTACTCTGTGTTCTGTACTGTTTTCTCAAACTAATTCTCCATTCAATTAACAGTTTTCAGAAGAATACAATATATTCTTACTGCCTCAACTTTGGGTTTCATTTCTAAAATAACTTTATAATTTTCTTTGGTTTTCCTCCTGAGCTTCACTAGGTGATTTTTTAGTCTCTTCTATTATCTTATCACATCTTCTTTAATCTTTTAAAATTCCTGTTTGTACTTTTTTCCCCTGGAGTCCATATTTTCTTTAATTGTGTTGAGAATATCCAGAAGATTTTTTTTTCTATTTCCTTTAGCAATTCTTCTTAAAAATACTGCTTACTATGTATCTTTTCTTCCCTTTTATAATTTTAAATGCATCAATGCAAAGATTCTCATATTGGACTTGTTTTGATTATCCTTCAATAAATAAAGTTATATTCAGAGTCTTGTGTTTGCTTGAGAGTGTTGTGTGTGTGTGTGTGTATATATATTTCAGTGACCAAGGGCTGTTGATAGAGTCAAAATGGGTATATTGAATCAGAACACATTCCCATGAAATCTCTGTGTCTTTTCTTTGGGGTACATTCCCTCAAATAAAGTAGATTATTCTGCCAGAAAGCCTGCCTGGCTCACAGTGAAGCTTTTCAGCTCACAGACAACTTGTTTGCTAATTTAGAGCTCATTTATTTGTCCAG